TATACTCGCTGTTTATTTATTTATTTATTTATTTATTTAATCAAATTTCTATACCGCCCTACTCCCGAAGGACTCAGGGCGGTGAACAGCCAAGATAAAATACAGATAAAACAAATATTAAAAATCCCTTAAAATTATTAAATATTTTTGCCGAAACACAGATTAAAACACCCAATTTATAAAGTCACGAATTAAAAAAATTTAAAAAATTTAAAAGAGGGGAGTTAGGCCAGGCCAGCTTGCTGAAATAGAAAAGTTTTGAGAGCATGGCGAAACGTGCGCAGGTCCGGGATCTTCCGTATCTCTGGGGGGAGCTCGTTCCAGATGGTAGGTGCCCCCACAGAGAAGGCTCTCCCCCTGGGGGCCGCCAGTCGGCACTGAGGAGCCCCTCTCTATGGGAGCGTACTGGTCGGTGAGAGGCTGTTGGTAGCAGAAGGCGGTCTCGTAAATACCCCGGTCCGATGCCATGGAGTGCTCTAAAGGTGGTAACCAAAACCTTGAAGCGCACCCGGAAGACCACCGGGAGCTAGTGCAGCTCGCGCAGGAGGGGGGTCACATGGGAGCGCCACATCGCTCCCATAACCACCCGTGCGGCTGTTATTAGCTAAAAGTAATTTACTGAACTATCGAGTAAAGAAACTGCAGAAGAAGAAAGGAATGTTAATCAATAAAGTCTCTAGAAAGCAAATCTTGTGTAGATAGTTTCACTTTCAACAGGAACACACAAAACAGATGATCAAAATCTAGGCTGAAATCCAGAAAGTCAAGCAAGTTTTGTCAGCCAGTCCAAAGGTCAGAATTTCAGGGACGGGGGGAGGGTTTACACAACAAATACCCTAGAACAAAACACCAGAACAGGAGATGAAATAATTGTTTCCAACTCCAGAAACTGGACTAGTCAGCTCTCTTACTTAAACCAGACTGCAGCCATCTCTTTTCAATTAAGGGAGTTGCTCCCTGTTTGGCAAGGAGCCTCATTGAGCTTCATTGCTTTGCTCTCTGCTCTCTAATCCCTGAGGCCCAGGGTTTGAATGCCATATTTTCACTACTTGATTATTGTTCTGATAGTGCCTATTTTTGGCATTAAACTTCTGGTGATTCCTGCTTTGGTGCCACTTCGGGTTGGAATTCTGCTGGTTCATTTGATGCAGTTTCCTCAGAATCAGAATCTGGTCTAAGGCAGGGATTGCTAAAGTTCATACACAAGAATCTTGCCACTTAAAGTTGAGCCAGATAAGCATCAACGGAATACAAGCTGGGTTGGATTTGGGCCATTTCTGAAAACATAACAACGGTAGGCTGATGATTTGCTTAATTCCCCCCACCCCCAGTTTCGCCTCCTCTTCTCCTACATTTTCATGCATTTGAACCTTTATCCATTATGCTTAATGGAATAAGGGAAAGTTGTCATGGATTTACCATATATGGTGGGATGTGCATGATTGCATGAGGGAGGGGACCTTTGCTGAGGAGTCAAAGGCAAATTGGCCAAGAATCCTTGGAATGAAGGAAGAGGCACAGAGTAAACCCTCCTGAACCCTTTCACAGAGTATATCTAAGAGTTATGCATATTGTGCTGTAGTCTGGCAAGATTCCTGTCAATGGGTAAGCAACAATAAAAAAAACTTCTCTGAATAAATATCTATGTCATTTTTGAGTCTTTGCTCCTGATATCACACTTTTTTAAGAAGATGTCAAAGGTGAGTAGAAAGAAAGAGATCTTCCAGTATCTCCACCATTAAATAATGGGGAGCTACTGCTCCTTTCAGGAATCATCTCCTTCCAGCTACAAAATAAAAGTCCTTCAAGATTTTGTCTGTTTGGTTGAACCAATCAGAACAAAAAGTGCATTTGGTTAAAAATGTACACGAAGCAGCAACGGGATTAAATTGGGCAAAATGGTGGAAGCTTCCATCGTTTTTATTTTATTTTATTTTTATTGCATTTTTTTCTTTTTACCTATCTCTATTATATATTTAACAGATCTGTGACATTATTCATGCACCTAGAATCAATATTCAATACATTATATACATTCTATTTCTAAACGTTCTATTCCTTTATGTACATTTCCATTCCTTATTTCTATTATCTATCCATTCATACCATTTCTCCGATGCCGCATAATATTCCGAGTCATCCTTTCCCTTTAGCTCTACTGTGAGTCTATCCATTTCCATGCAATCAAATATTTTTCGAATTACCAATCCCTTTGACGGTATACTATCTTTCTTCCAATACAATGCAAAGGCAGTCGACAGTGTTGACTGGTGGCCCTCAAGGGAAGAGCCTTCTCTGTGGGGGCACCTGCTATCTGGAATCTCCCCCCGGAAATACGGAGGATCCCGGATTTACGCACCTTGCACCGCGCCCTCAAGACCTTTTTATTCCAACAGGCTGGCCTGGCCTAACCTCCCTTTTTAATTGTAAATTTTAAATTTGTCTAAAATTTTAGGGTTGATTTAATCTGTTCTGGGCCAAATTTATTTAATTAGGTGTTTATACTGTTTTTAAATTTTGTAATTCTCTGTGTTTTATCCCTTGGCTGTTCACCGCCCTGAGTCCCTCGGGAGTAGGGCGGTATATAAATCTAATAATAAATAAATAAATAAATAATAAATCCTTGCTGCCGTTAATATATGTAACATCAAATATTTTATCTTTTGGAAGCTTGCATTGTTTCCTGGAGTCATTTGCTTAACAAGCCACTCAGAGTCACTTTAATGGTGATATAGGCAGCATACAAATTTCATAAATAACAAAACAAAATTGCTGTCAGTTAACAATTGCTGCCATAAGATATTCCTCCTTTAAGTGGTCTGGACTCTAGCAATTTACCAATAGCAAAAGCACTTAGACTTATATACCGCTTCATGGTGCTTTACTAAGTGGTCCTAGGTTCATGTTAGGCTGAATCTCAATCTAGCAACTTTTGGTTACTTCTTCTTTAAGACATCATATTTTTAACTACTTCTTTTGCATATCATCAGCAATAACAGTTGAAGTTGCAAAATTCAGAGAAGAATGTCACACCCCTTCTTTTTATTCTTCGGAGAAAGTTGGCAGCTTGGTCCAGCTTAATTCCTCTTTCTGACTGTAGCTGCATCAAGTGCCAGCTAACGGGATTCATCGGATTAATCGGGAAAAGATTTCATCCTTAGAGTCCAAACGAGACCAGCTAGTTCCACCTGGAGATTCTTCCTATCATCCCAAGGTACGTCTGCAGTAAAAGCAGAGTTTCTGTTGAGGTCATTAATTATCTGCATGATGGTCCTTTTTGAGACCAGGATAGGACTCATCAGTATGGGCTCCTAGTCTTACCCTGGTCTCAAAAAGGACCATTTTGCAGATACTAAATTAGTATGGGATCAGCTAATCCATCAAAGTCCTCTGGCCCATAATGGAACTCAATTGAGCACCGATTTTTTTTCCACAATGGTATGATACTAGTCTTCTCATTCCTGGCTTTGGTAAATCTTAATATCTATTGAAGAGCCCTGGTGGTGAAGGGAATAGAATGCAGTATTACAGGCTAACTCTGCCCACTGCCAGCAGTTCGATCCTGACTGGCTCAAGGTTGACTCAGCCTTTCATCCTTCTGAGGTCGGTATAATGAAGATCCAGATTGTTGAGGACAATATGCTGACTCTGTAAACTGCTTAGACAGGGCTGTAAAGCACTATGAGGCAGTATATAAGTCTAATTGCTACTGCTATTGCTATTTTTTTTTCTAATCTCATGCTGTTAATTGTTCACTGCTATCTTTCTGATCATATTTTCTTATTTTTTGAAATTCCCTTTTTATGGTTATGGAATTGTACTCCTGGTCTTTTGATTCCCTTAGTTTTTTGAATTGCAACTACATTTTATGGCTTGACTGAAAGGTAGGAGAGGCTAAACGTATTTTGTGTGGACGGCTAACCAACAATGACTTTGGATTCATTAATACAATTCAATAATTGTATTTCTCCTTAAACTACAGTGTCCCAGGTGGTCCACCTCATACACAGATTTGAACTCTTTTGCATAATGGAGCAGCAATTTATTTACTGAAATACATTTAAATACATGAAAATTATATTATATATAAAATTTCCTTTCCTTTGTGGGTACTGCTGTTAACAAAAAACTCAAGGGTTCGTAATGCTTTGTAAGCCTATTCCAAAATTGAAACTCTATCACCGAATCAGGAGTTCCTGTTTTCCATTCTCTCCTGAGGTTGCGGATTGCATTGGCATTTTATCACTGGAAGCTTCCAAGAAGAGATTGGACTGCCATTTGTCAGAAATGGTGTAGGGTCTTCTGCTTGGATGGGGGGTTGGATTAGATGTCATACAAGGTCTCTTGCAACTCTGTTAATCTATTGATCTGTAAAATATAAGAGTCAAAGCTGATCGCATCACGTGACGTATTGTGACATATCGTAACTTTTCTTTGCCTTTGCAAAGCCAGGGTGGGCGTGGTCCAGTGGTGAAATCCAAATTTTTTTTACTACCAGTTCTGTGGGCGTGGCTTGGTGGGCATCGCAAGGGAAGGATATGGCAAAATCCCCATTCCCTCCCCACTCCTGGGGGAAGGATATTGCAAAATCTCTATTCCCACCCCACTCTGGGGCCAGCCAGAGGTATTTGCCAGTTCTCTGAAGTGTTCAAAATTTCTGCTACCAGTTCTGCAGAACCTGTCATAACCTGCTGGATTTCACCCCTGGTGTGTCCTACACATGACACATCCAGCTCATGAGCCACAAGTTTGACAGCCCTGCTGTAAAACATTCAGTGGGTGCATTCACAAAATGGTTTAGGAATGAATTATTCATAATTCCTGCCATAAGATGTTCCTTTCCTTTAAGGGTCCTGGACTTCAAGAATTTGACATCCAATTGACATCCAGAATAGGCTGCTTCTCTAACAAGTGCCTTTTTCTTGTTCTTTCTTTCAAAATAAGATTGCCTCTTTAACAACTTCTTTTGCATATTGTGTGCGATAACATTTAAACATGCAGAATTCAGAGAAGAATATCGCACAGGTTTTCTGTGAAAGTTTGCAGCTTGGTCCAGCTCAATTCCCCTTTTGGACTGTACTTGCATCAAGTGAAGGCCAACGGGATTCACTGGAAAAGATCTCGTCCTTAGATTCTGGAAAAGACCTTTTTTTTTTTCCTTCTGGAGATTCTTCCTATCATTATCAGGTATGGCCAAAGTAAAGGCAGAACTTGTGCTGTGGTAATTTGTTATTTCCAAAATACCCCATTTTGGGTTCAGGCTAAGAGTTGGGGAACATTGGGATGTTATCAGTTAATTCCACAGGATTGTCTGATGAAACTCACTGTAACTGAGAACCGAAGAAGGTCCTAGATGAGAAGCAGAAAGTTTTCAAAGAAAATACAAAGAAAGTCCAGTTGACTTTTCGGACAACCATGATTTGGATGATTAAGAATCTCCATAAACATTAATCTAAATTACCATTATCTTTTTACCAGACTGGTGTGACACCAGTCTTCTCATCTCTGACTCCAATAAATCTTAATACGTTTTTACAAATTCTTTTCTGATGTTATTGTTATTAACTGAAAAACTGCCCCATTTTTTGAAGATTTTTCCTCATTTTTAAAAAAATCTTTCTTAGAGTTATTGTAAATGCAATTTATTGCTTCATGTGTTGATGGCAAACCAATAACGACTTGGAATTCTCCAAGAATACAATTTCTTTCAGCCATTTGGACAATCAGAAGACAAGTCAAGTTTTCTTTCTTTTAATAATTTTATTTCCCTTTAAATTACATTACCCCAGGTGGTCCACCTTATCCACGGATGTGAACTCATCTAAGAAAGGAAACAACACTTTTTGCACAATGGAGCAGCTATTTAATAACTCAAGAGGTATGAACATCATGAAAACTATATGATATATATAAACTTTCCTTTCCTTTGTGGGAACTACTGATAACCAAAACCTCAAGAGTTCATAATGGTTTATGAGCTTATTCCAACATTGAAACTCCATCACCAAGTCATGGTTTCCTGTTGTCCATTCTCCCCTGAGGTTGGGGATTGCATTGGCATTTTATCACTGGAAGGTTTCAAGAAGAGATTGGACTGCCATTTATCAGAGATGGTGTAGGGTCTCCTGCTTGTGTGGGGGGTTGGACTAGATGATCTACAAGGTTCCTTCCAACTCTGTTAATCTATTAATCTAAAACATTCAGTGGGTGCATTCACAAAATGGCTTCCAATGGAATTATTCATAAACTAAGTATTAGGGGGAATATCAACACACTGACAGCTGTCGCTTCCTGCAGGCCACATCCTCCCAGAATTGTCCTTTGGAAGGACACAAGGGATGGAGTCAACCACTTTCTTCTTCTTTAATTAGGGGAAAAAAATGATTAGGGGCTAAAAGCATTTCTGAAAATGAAGGAAAAGCAAGGGTGAGGAAAATAGTTTCCCATTCAAAATGAACATTTTAAAAAAATGAATTAATTATCAGGTGAAATAATTCTGGGGCAGCTTAGAGGAGACTGAATATTGGCCAATGATCATCTGGGCAATGAAAGGAAAATAAAACCTACTAGAGATTATTTTATTTATACATTCACAGACTCCCATTCAGGAAGAAACAAATCTGTGTGGATGAAGTTTCTAAAGCACATTAACATTTTTGCTGCCTGCTGTCATTGATCAAAATAATAATTTATTATAATTGCTTCCTTAGGTAATGGATCAGAATATGATATAGCATATCACTTCCTTGCTGTGGTACACGGAATACAGGAGTAAGTATATTATGATACAAAATATTCTGCCTCTTTTTAATATTAAGAATAAAGAATATTTTAATCTGGGAAGATGGTGGGGCCTTCCTACAGTATGTATGTATTTCACTAACAAGGACTGATTCTCTTTTTGTTTCTTTATGTTATTAGGATACAGAACAACTTTCCAAGTCCTCTAAGTTGTTTCAATACTACTGGAATTGCTCCAAATGTTTCTAAAATACCAGAAATTTTTTCTTCTCCGTATGATCAACCGTTTGATAATTTAACACAAAATCTTCTCAATGGCTTCATTGGCCTTATTTGCATTTTTGGCCTGGTGGGAAATGGAATGACAATTTATCTCCTGGCCTTTTCCATTAAGAGGAATCCTTTCACCACTTTCATCCTGAATCTCTCCATTGCTGATTTTGGGGTCATCACATCCCTCATTACTGCAGCTATATTTGTGTCAGTATTTACTCTGAGTCACAAAACACACCTTCTCAATGCCTTTTTCTTCTTATTTTTTGAGTTCTTTTTCTTCACCTATTCTGCCAGCCAGTTTCTGCTGACGGCCATCAGCCTGGACAGGTGTGTGGCTGTCCTTTTCCCTCTCTGGCATCGCTGCCATCGTCCGCCATATTTATCCTCACTTGTTTGTGGCCTCATCTGGATCCTCTCCTTCCTGCTCTCTGTGGTGCACTTCATTCTCCACCAGACCAGAACCTATGGAAGATCACCTTTGTTTTACCAGCTGATTGTGAATGGTTTACTTTGTACGCCTCTCATGGTTGTGTCCACTGTGACTCTCTTGATTCATATGAGGTCTAAAATGCAACGCAATCAAAAGAAATTGCTCATCACCATCTTTCTGGCTCTCCTCTTGTTCCTCCTGCTTTCTCTCCCAATGAATGTCTTTTATGTCATGGAATATTTTGTTTCCTATAATCCCCTCCTCCTGACCATTGGGGTAGGATGTGGCACTCTCAACAGCAGCATCAACCCACTCCTTTATTTCTTAGTGGGGAGGAAGAAGAGAGGAAAAGATCAGCCCAGAGCATCTTACAAGGTTGCTCTGCAAAGAATCTTCAAGGATGAGAGGGGAAGCACGGAAGATCAGGAAACCACGCATGAAAGCCAGTTGTGAAGAGTCAAAAAACGTTGCATATAAAATATTTTAAGGTAAAAGCTTATTCAGACACCATATGTGCTTTCCTTAAGAACTTACAGATGTGATACAATTTACTGAGCAAAGTACTTAAAAACAAAAACTAGGAACAGGAAGTGTTGCTGTGTCCTCATTTTTCAATTCAAAGAACTTGTTCAAGAGGAAACGTTTTAGCTGATATACTTCCTTTTTCATAATTAGCATCCTGTTTCCCAGTTAAGATTATCAGCAAGAGGGTCGCATTTAGTACCATATTTTCTCCAAAATAAGACCTAATTGGTAAATAAGCCCTAATGCATCTTTTGGAGCATAAATTAATATAAGATCTGCTCTTATTTTCAGAGAAAATAAGATCTTACTGAATGAAATGTTTATAATATGTACTTTATTTTATGCATTTTTCTTTGTGACAAGAAAGTTTATATACATATAATGGAGATGAAGGAGAAGGGGAAAATGTGCTGTACACGATACAGTTTTTTGGAATAAAATGTGCCATTTTTGATTCTGAAAAATTTCAGACAGAATAACATTCAATTATATTTTAAAATTAGAGTTCATTATTCATAATCATTAATTAGTGGCTTTTTTTTTCTTGACTAAAGGTATGTAGCTTCTATCATCGTAAGCCTTCCTTCCAGGCAATCTTTTATAGCCATTTCAAGTCCTGATTTCTTAGCTGGCACCGACGTCACCTGGCAAAGTTCTGGACTAGGAGGACCTTAGTAGACCTTTCTTCTCTCAACACAAACCTCACCTGGGTTTCTATTCTGTAATTCTGTATGGCTACTTTTGGAATAGAGGTTTTTTTTTTTTTTTTTTTAAGGATTGTGTGTGTATGTGTGTGTTTCTGTAGATAGATGATAGATGGATAGATAGGTAGGTAGGTAGATAGGTAGATGGGTAGATAATAGATAGATGATACAGGGAGAGGGAGAGAAAGAGAGAGAGGCACCCTGATATCAACTGCTTTGAAACTCATTGAATTTCATCGTGCCTCTCAGAACCAATTAACAACGAGTACCAAGTATGAATATATAATGTGTGTGTGTGGAGATAGATAGATGATAGATAGATGATAGATAGATAGATAGATAGATAGATAGATAGATAGATAGATATTGATTGATTTATTTATTTATTTATTTATTAGGGAGAGAGAGGGAGAGAGAGAGAGGGAGAGAGAACGAGAGGTAGAGGTAGAGATAGATTAGACATAGAAATAGAGATAGATAGAGATAGAGATAGACATGGACATGGAGATGGAAATGGAGATGTAGCTAGCTAGATGACATAGATAGTAGTTTTTCATAATATTTTTTTTTAGCTTTTGTTTGCATTCTACCCTTTTTATCTGGTCTATAACCAAAATAAATATTTAATTTGATTGATGTTATGGAATTGGGGATATGATTTCAGAAGGGAAGGCTTCTTTCTCAAGGAGCCAAAAGGCAAATCAGCCTTGAGTCTTTGATATGCAGGAAGAGGTCTAGAAAGGATCATCCCTAGAACCTGAGTTAGCATGGTGAAGATTCTGAAGAGCCCTAGTGGCGCAGTGGTTAGAGTGCAGTACTGCAGGCTCCTTTTGCTGACTGCCGGCTGCCTGCAATTTGGCATTTCAAATCTCACCAGGCTCAAGGTTGACTCAACTTTCCACCCTTCCGAGGTCAGCAAAATGAGGAGCCAGATTGTTGGGGGCAAATAGGTTGACTCTGTAAATCGCATAGGTTGTAAAGCACTGTGAAGCAGTATATAAGTCTAAGTGCTATTTTTTTTTTTTTTTTTTTAATTTGATTTATATGCCGCCCTTCTCCGGAGACTCAGGGCGGCTTACAGTGCGTTAAGCAATAGCCTTCATACTTTTGTATATTTATACAAAGTCAGCTTATTGCCCCCACAAACTGGGTCCTCATTTAACCTACCTTAGAAAGGATGGAAGGCTGAGTCAACCTTGAGCCTTGGAGAGATTCGAACCAGCAGTAAATTGCAGGCAGCTGTGTTAATAACAGGGTGCTTTAAACCACTGTAGTACCAAGGCCCTATTGCTATCCACATGACATCCATCCAATATATATGCTTCATTAATGTGCCATGCATGTTTAATTATACTGCACAATGGATTTCAATTTTAGTGATTAAAATTAAACTGATTTTAATTTTGCTTTAATTAAAATTGTAACCATCTATTCTTCTGGGCTGTACTTTCCATTTTATATGTTGTTATCCACTCTGAATGTTCAGTAAAAGGAAGAATTTAAATTTAGCAAATAAATTAATAATAAATCACTGTGTTGTGTAGGAATCACGTGTTTGCTTACAGCCACTGCACATTTTCCAAAACTATCTTTCCCAAAGATTCATGTTAATGCTGGATTGTTCCCACTTTCCCCTCTATGCTTGCCTAGAGTGATTTTCTATTTCTTCGGAATTACTCTTCTATCACTTCAAATTGATGGATGAAGAGATCATGACATATCCACTCCACTATCCTCAATTCTATGTTGGCTACACATGCTCAAACTGAATGAGGAAGAGCAGAGAAAAATGACACGTTCCTTTTCAATGGTTATATCTGGATTACTGCATCCCACATTTTGAAGTTTTCGCCACTTGTTTTTCCAACCTTAAAATCTTACTTTCAGTTAGGATAACAAGCCAATAAAGATTGCCCTAAAGTTTGACAGAAACTGGAGATGAAATTAAACTCCTAAGAATTTTAGAACAGGAGGATGCAAAATAAAAATTTAAAAAGGTAATCTGAAATATAAGGAGGAATCTCTACTTTGTTAAGACTCCAGGAACATCATTTTACAGAAATAGCAGAAGGTATCTGCAGCATGAGACCGATTTTACTAATTAAGCGGTAAACTGTTTAAGAAAGTGAGGTCAAATGTCCAAAGAGTTATGATATAATTTTGGAGAGAGAGAGTTTAAAATGTAATAGTGTTTATAACTGCTGCATAGAATATTGGAAGGCATTTTTTGTATCTTCTTTTTTTCTATTTTTCTTGATCTTTTTTCTGTTCCTTCACCTATTGCTATCTCTTTCCTTTCTTTTTTCTTCCTTACTTTAAATTAGTTTAGATTAATGTTTAACTTTAAGAAAAAAAAGCTTCAATAATAATGAGAGAGAGAGATGATGATGATGGTGGCAGAGATTAAGAACCTATAGAAATTGAGAGATGGAAATAAGACAGAGAGAGATGAAGATAAGAGAGAGTTAGAGAAGGAGAGGGAGGGAGAGGGAGAAAGAGATGAAAGAGAGAGAGATGGAGATAAGAGAGAGAGAGAGATGAAGATAAGAGAGAGAGATGGAGATAGAGAGAGATGGAGATAAGAGAGAGAGATGAAGATAAGAGTTAGAGAAGTAGAGGGAGGGAGAGGGAGAAAGATGAGAGAGAGAGATGAAGATAAGAGAGAGAAGGAGAGGGAGGGAGAGGGAGAAAGAGATGAGAGAGAGATGGAGATAAGAGAGAGAGATGAAGATAAGAGAGAGAGATGAAGATAAGAGAGAGCGAGATGAAGATAAGAGAGAGAGAAGGAGAGGGAGGAAGAGGGAGAAAGAGATGAGAGGGAGGGAGGGAGGGAGGGAGAGATGAGAGAGAGATATGGATTTGACCAATTAAAATCTTTCTCTCCCAAATTCCAATATAACAAAGTTGGAAAGGATCTTTGAGGTCTTCTGATCCAACCAGGGATGGGTTCTACTTACCTTTACTACCGGTTCGCAATGGGATCGTGCACACATGCTTGCGCGGGTGCCTTGCATCTGCACATGCTCAGATTGCCAATGGTGACATCTGGGGTGGTGGGCGGGGCCTCCCACCAGTTACTACTGGTCCATGCGAACCAGTCCGAACCGGGGGCAACCCACCACTGGGTCCAACCTCAGATGACCATATACTATCTCAGAGAAATGGTTGTCCAATCTCATCAAAATCAGCTTTCAGTGATTTTTCATTCCCTAGAATTCCCTAGAGGTTTTCTATCCAGCCTTAACTGAAGATAACTCCACAAAAAGATATTTAATTTAATCAATTTAATTTAATTAATCATATTTCTATGCCACCCAACTCCCTAGGGACTCTGGGCAGCTCACAACAGAAATAATACAAACAGTGAACATATTTAAAAAAAAAAACATTATAAAAACATTTTAAAAACATTAAAAACACATGCACACCATCCATGGCCGGATCTCGCAAGATAGAACAGCGAGATCAACGGCCCCAGGCCTGCCGGGGCCGTTGTAACTTTATTGTAGTTTAACCACTCATTGATGATCCTCCAAATTTAACATATACACCCATTTTATCAACCCAGATTAGGTCTTGAAGTGATGCCCCAAAATACCTCCCAAAGAGCTTAAAATTAAAGGAGGAACAAACAAAACAAAAACAAAAAAAAAGTCAAGGGAATAAAATGTTTTTTTGTTTGTTTGTTTGTTTATTTATTTATTTATTTTGATTTATATGCTGCCCTTCTCCGGAGACTCAGGGCGGCTTACAATGCGTTAAGCAATAGCCTTCATACTTTTGTATATTTTATACAAAGTCAGTTTATTGCCCCCACAAACCGGGTCCTCATTTTACCTACCTTAGAAAGGATGGAAAGCTGAATCAACCTTGAGCCTGGTGAGAATTGAACTCGCAGTAATTGCAGGCAGCTGGAAGCTAAATACTACCTTTAACAGTAGCATTAGTCTGCTGCACCACTCAGGCTCAATTTATTTATTTACAGTTTCAAATTGGCCAATGGCCAAAGCTTTCTAGGTGGCTTACAATCTAACTGCTTCTTTTTTAAAAAAAAACCCGCATAGAATAAAAGCAATAAAGTGCAAAGTAAAACCATGGTGCGATCTACACAGCTTGCACGCCAGTCGTTCAAAATCAAAGTCAAAACCAATTTTTAAAAAAATCCACAGGAAAATATTAAAAACCTTCAGCTGATTGCCTAAGAGAGGCCAATGTGAGTCTCTCTCTAGGGAGGAAACTCCATTAACCGGGCGAAAAAGTTCTCCTTGGGAGAAAGAAACGCGCCCCAAGGGCTAAAGAAAAAGGAACCTATTACCACATGTGGTGGTCATGCCAGAAGGCAAAACAATTCTGGCAGGCAATAAAGATACAAATAGAAGAAATCATAAACCAGAAATTGGAAATGAAACCGGAAGTCTTTTTACTAGGACCATTATGAAAAAGAAATAAAATATCTAATTATCCACATACTAACGGCAGCATGGATACTCTTTGCTCAAAATTGGAAACATGAAGACATACCAACGGAAAATAAAATAATCACCAAAATTATGGAATGTCCAGAAATGGACAGACTCACAAAAGAATTACAAGAAAAAGATGAAACAGACTATTTATATAGTATGGCAGAAATGGTATAACTGGTTGGAGAAAAAGAAAGGAATATAAAAATAGGGACACAAAAGAGAGGTCGTAATTTATAGGCAAAAATTGGGTACCAATTAAGGAACATAATTAATTAAATACGGAGTTTATCATATTGCATTATATGTAAATATATAGATAAGAAATATAAATACAGTCTACCGATGTGACAATGTTGAAAAAGAAGTCGTAAGACTTGATTCATGCTTATTTGTTTTGTATGTTGTATTGTCCTATTTATGTTTATTTGTAATTTTTAACCAATAAAAAGGATTTTTTTTAAAAAAAAGGAAAAATAGGAAGAAAGAAAAGACCAGGAACGTAAATTTCCCCTTTTTTAAAAAACAAAAACATCCATTTCGGCTACCGATATCCGCCTTCTGCGATGCGAAAAATCACCCAAGCTTTTATGCTGTCGGTTATAATCCTTTCCTCCCACAAGAGGACGATGGTTTACGATGATGGTCGATGCTCCCAAAGGTGCTTTTTTTTTTGCAAAGAAACCCTCCCCAAAAAAGTCCAGTTACCTCTTTAAAAAGTCCAATTGCCTCTTGAAAAAGCATTTTGGGGACAACCACATGAACTGAGAATCTCCATGGACATAAACCGCTGTTGCTGTTAATAATCCACAAATATATATATATATACTATAGTATATATATAGTATATATATATATATTTCTCTCCACTTTGGATATCTCTGGCTTCAATCCGGTTAGCTGGGGATCCGGCGCCAAACTCTCCAAATCTCTCGTCCGAGAAGGGCGGCGATGGGCTCTTCCAAGCCTCCTCCGGTTGGGTTGACCGGTTTGGCCAAGCCGAAAGCGCCGCTTCCCAAGCATCTTCCCAACGCGGCTGTCCAGATTTCCTTGCTCCTCTCGAGACGGTCGCTCTAAAATGCAGCCGAGAAAAATCCGCTCCGAAAGTGACAAAGGGAGGAACTGGAGCTGCTTTATAAGGGCAGCCAAATCAGCCCAGCCTCCTTCTGGCCACCAGGCAATCGTCTCAGCTTGCACGACTGCGTCATTTGCACGCCTACCGGGACCGCACCCGCTTTCTCTCCTGCCCGCAAGGTTTCGCATCCCGTTAAGATGGGAAAGGAAGGGTTTTGACTCCGCCCGGCCGGAGAACCTGCCGCGGTAAGTCGTCGTTATTCATCGGTTTAAAAAAAAAAAAAAAAAAAAAAAAAACCTGCGATGCCCCCTGCAGGAGAAAAGAAAAAAGAAAAAGAAAGAAAGAAAATAAAACTTAAATGAAGATGCGGATCGCAAAGTTTATTCTTGCCATTGAATAAAAGAGCTGTTCGGTCTCCTTTCCATTCCATTGTGGATTAGAGGTGAGGGATCTGTACTTGCCAAGAACACACACACACAGAGGGAGAGGGGGAGGGGGAGGGAGGGAGAGAGAGAGAGACAGACAGACAGAGAGACAGAGAGACAGAGAGACAGAGAGAGGGGGAGAGAGAGAGAGAGGCAGAGAGAGAGGCAGAGAGACACAGAGAGAGAGAGAGGCAGAGAGACAGACAGAGAGAGAGAGAGAGGCAGAGAGAGAGAGAAACTATCATAATCCTACCCAGTCTCCACTCATCTAAATAAAGAAAGGAATGTAAATCAACAAAATGTTTGGAAAAAAAAGTTTGCTTGGGTAGTTTCATTTTCACCAGGAACACAGAAGAAACAATTCAAAATCCAGTCTGAAGAGCCAATCCAGGTTTCTCACACTCTGGACATAAATTGTTTCAACTCCTACCCTCAAAAACGACGCTTTAGGGCACCGCACACCAGAACAACAAGACACAAGGACAGTTTTTTTCTCTGAATGCCATCACTCTGCTTAACAACTCATTCCCACAACATTGTCGAATTAACTACTAAGACCGTATTAGATTCTTCTTCTCATCCTCACTAGTATCTATTTCTTTCCACTAATTACTATAACCATGTTGCTTGTATCTTTCAATTTATATTGTTTTTATTTGTCTCCTAGTACGATTTGATAGCTTATTAGTAACCTTGACTATCACTAAGTGTTGTATCTTTTTTATTCTTGATGAATGTATTTTATTCCCCTTATGTACACTGAGAGCATATGCACCAAAGACAAATTCCTTGTGTGTCCAATCACACTTGGCCAAATTCAAGTGTTTAGTCTCCCTTCCATTGTAGATTAGAGGTGAGGAAACTGTACTTCCCAAGAACATGGGTTCACGCTCGCGTACACACACACACACACAAAGAGAGAGAGAGAGAGAGACACACACACACAGAGAGAGAGAGACAGAGAGTGAGTATCATAACCCCACCTAGTCTCCACCCCTCTAAATGAAGAAAGGAATGTAAAGTAACAAAATGTATTGGAAAGAAAGCTTATCTGGGTAGTTTCATTTTCAAGAGGAACACGTAGACAATTCAAAATCCAGTTGGAAGAGGCAATCCAGGTTTGTCAACCAGTGCAAAAGTCAAAATTTCCAGGTTAATGAGCGGGATACACAGGGATGTTGGAGAAACAGCTGTCAGTACTGACTCTTAAATCACTCTGCAGCCAGTTCTTTTCAATTAAGAGTTAATCCCTTAATTGTTTGGCAAGGAGCTTCATGGAGCTAGTTGTAGATGATATAGAGATAAAGATAGTGATAGAGATAGAGATGATAGAGGTAGAGATACAGAGACAGACATATAGATGTAGCTGTAGATACTGTAGTTAGATATAGATATTAGCTTTTCAAATTATTTTTGCACTTGATGTATTTTATCATTGTTCATTGTTTTGTTTGCATTCTAGCCTTTTTATTCTGGTCTATGACCAAAATAAATATTTAATTTGATTTGTGTTACGAAATTGGACACCTGTTTGCAGGAGGGAAGGTCTCTTTCTCAAGGAGCTAAAAGGCAAATCAGCCTTGAGCCATTGGTGTGCAGAAAGAGGCTGAGAAGGGATTCTCTCTAAAAGCTGCATAGGATTTATCTGATAGAGATTCAGAGTGTGCTTTAGTCTGGCAAGATTCCTGTCTCTACGCCAACAGCAATAAAGAAGCTCTTCTAAACAAATTGTTGTATTGTTCTTGAATAAGCTGAGTATTTTATAAGCACCGTGCAGTTCCTTTCCTGCACAGCATTAGTTGTGGACTGATGTAGACATCTCTTAAAATGCAATTCTCTATATATCTGTCTATTCAGATGAAAGAGCCAATAAGTTGAAAGATATTTGGTCCCACCTATAAGATGACAGCCTCAAGTGCAAGTCATTCATTGCTATTCAGAAAGAAGCACTTGCAAGTGAGGTTGGGCTCTTCTAACTCCCTCCAGTAGCTTCACCTTCTTTGAAGATTTTTTGCAAAACGACGTTCATGCTCTCCTTGGACTGAGCTCCTTTTTTTCTCCCAACTAGAAAGTAGATCACTGGATTAATACTGCTGTTTAGGCAGGAAAACAATATACTACCCATAACCCAATATTCCAGTTGATCATCAGCTTTGCTACTAGAAAAACTAATAATCATCGCAAAGACACTTAATGGAAAAGCAAGGATGAGGAAACAGAGAAGAGTAATTAAAATCATCAGTAGAAGCCGTCCCTGATTCTTTTGTTTCAATTTAAGACACACTTGGATGAAAAGGACCACGGTAGAGAGTGTGATCAATGGAAGGCAAACTATAGCAGTCACAATGAAATGGAAATTGAGGGGACGGTAATTTACAAAGACTTTTATAATTCTCATAATTCCACTCAGGAGGAAAGAAGAGGTCCACAGGAGGATACACACTGTCGAGGACAAATGTTTTGGCCGGGAACAGTGATGCCAGATTGGGAAGAGGACAGCCACACACCGGTCAATGCTGATGGCCATCAGAAGAAAGTTTGAACTGATGTACATCATGTGGGAGAAAAAAGCAAAGAAATGGAATTGAATGTTGCCTCTTAGAAAATAAGTAAATTGATGGATGACATATATAACTATAGATGCCAGGAACCCAAAGTCTGCAAAGGCCAAGTTAAAGATGAATGTGGTGAAACAGTTTCTCTTAATCTGGAAGCCAAGTAGCCAGATGATGTAGCCATTGCCCACAAACCCAACACAACAGGTAATGAAAGTAATGCCCATCAAAGCAATCCATCCTAAATCAAAAGGGATGATCTCTCTTGCGTTCTCATAGGAGTCCCTGGTATTCTTATACCTATAATAGTTTTCTGTAGCATCCAGATCTCCCAGGCTGAAATTCATCATTAAGCTTTTTTAATCCTCTGAAAATCTTTCTGAGAGGAAGCTCCTATTAAAAGAAAAGAAAAAAGAGGGGATTCAGTCATTCCTGTCTCCGAAATAATACAAATATTATCATAGCTTCCAGTATCTAAGGGGCTGCTCCAAAGAAGAGGGGGATCAAACTGTACTCAAAAGCACCTGATGGCAAGTCAAGAAGAAATGGATCAATATAATCAAGGAGAGAACCAACTTAGAAATGACAGTTAGAACCGTAGACAGGTGGAACAGCTTATCTTCAGAAGCTGTGGGTTCTCTCTCACTGGAGGCTTTTAAGAAGAGATTTGACAACTATTTGTCTGGCATAGGATCTCCTGCTTGATCAGGGAGTTGGACTAGAAGATCTCCAAAGTCCTTTCAAATCTGCTATTCTGTTATTCTACTTTCCCTGTGAATAGCTTGAGTGATGTGACAGCGTTCCAGATAACCCCCCACTCCAAGTAAAGACTCTGAAGCAAGCACTTTTCAAAGTTCTATTTACTAGAATAGGTAAACTGGCACATCTGGGAAAACCCAAATCTGAGAGGTCCAGGTTTTCCCTCAGGAAATCAAAACCCCCAAAACCATCCCCTCATTCCTCGGTCGATCACATGCTCCAATCAACATCTTGAGACATCACTCCGACCACTTCTTCTCCAGATGCAGGATTGCCCTAACCTTGACCGACAGGAAGAATGCTATTATGTCTACAGTCAACCCCTCTACTAAATCCCCCCTCCTACTTTCCCACACAGGAGAAGGTGGCAGCATGGAAGCTTCCGGCCTAATATGGCTTCCAAAGCTGACACGATGTAGCTTCGGTAATGAACCTTCTCCTTGAACTGTTTATTGCCACATCTAAGGGGGATGTTGTTTTAACCAGGCTTCTCAATACATATCTGAAAATGCAGTTGGTATTGGATTGCATTATATCCGTGATGGCGAACCTATGGCACGCGTGCCACCTGTGGCACGTGGAGCCATATCAGTGGGCATGTGAGCATTGCCCTAGCTGAGCTCCAGTGCACATGTGCGCACTGGCCAGCTGGTTTTTGGGCCTTCCGGAGCCACCAGAAGTCAGGAAACAGGCGATTTCCGGCCTCCAGGGGGTTGGGGAAGGCCGTTTTTGCCCTCCCCAGGCTCCTAGAAAGCCCCTGGAGCCTGGGGAGGGTGAGGAATGGGCTCACTGTACCATCACGTGCCAAAAGCAGGGAGAGCGCGGGGGGGTCGCATGTGCAGGGTGCATTGAATTATGGTGTGGGCACGCAAGCACGCCCCCCCCCCCGTGCGACCCTCGCTTTTGGCACGCGATGGCAAAAAGGTTAGCCATCACTGCATTAGATGGTTTCCCTGTACTGAAATTCAGCAGTGTTCTCTCTGCTGCTTTGCCACCATTGCTCTGATACATGCAAAATCTTCATTTATTTATTTACTTTATTTACAAATATTTATGTGCCGCCCTTCTCCCAAAGGACTCGGGGCAGCGAACACAAGTTAAAAACATTCAATAATAAAGGAAAATCCTAATTAAAACCAATTAAAACAGGGACAAATAAATAATAAAACACAAGAATCAGAATCAGCCCATTTGTTGAAACAAGTCTTTAGGCCTCGACAGAAGGAGCGGAGATCAGGCACCGTCCGGAGCTCGGTGGGTAACTCATTCCAGAGGGCAGGAGCACCCACAGAGAACGCTCTACCCCTGGACGTTGCCAGCCGACATTGTCTGGTCGACGGTACCCTGAGGAGGGCAGCCCTGTGTGAGCGGACAGGACAGTGGGAGGCGGGTAGGAGATGGTCCTGCAAGTACCCGGACCTAAGCCATGAGAGCTACATGTGAGCTACAAAGCAGATATTATGTAAGGCAACATTCTTCCCAATGCTTGTCATTGTTATGTTGATATGATGCCCAGAGTATAACAGAGATAATAAGATATAATGATAATAAAATATATCCATGACCGGAAATTAGAAGTTAGGAGATGATACGAGGGAAAACTGGGTAGCTTAAATATTTTGTAGAGCTACAGATACTTCCCAAAAAGGGAAAAGACACATACACACCCCATTTTGTTCTACTTAATAACAATAACACAGATGGAAGGACCTTGGAGATCTTATAGTCAAACCCAGTCTAGTCTCAAGCCGGAGAACCTATACAATTTACGATAAGTGGCTATCCAGTCTCTTCTTAAAACCTCCAGTGGTAAAGCAGCCACAACCTCTGAAGGCAAATTGTTCCACTAGTTAATTGTTCTCACTATTTGCTTCTGATGTATTGTTCTGTCATGATGGCTAAAATTAGGCTGGGAAATGACTGAAAATCAGGACACCTCAACTGAGACTGTTACGTTAACACATAAATATCAGGTGTAGAAATATACAGCTACTTGAAGGAATGGCTATTGCTCTGTTTGCATATCCCTGGGTCTAATGAACCCTTCCCAAATTATAACTCACCTGAAACTGATGGTCCAAATTCTTCAAAGTTGATGAGTGGAAGATTATTCTGTCACAATATTGAGGGCTGAAGTGACCAGGGATGGCAGGACCTGCAGGCAAAATGTCTTTAAGTGCAATTTAGATGAAGTTCATCAACAGAAGGGAAGTAGTCCAAGCACCCGATCTTGTGTTGCAAGGTTTAAAGAATTGTCAGCAGATTTGGATATCCCTGGAAGTAGAACCTGAGCAGAAATCTTCAGAGGTGTTTTTATAAAAGGAACAGGGTTCAGCATAGCAGGTGAGGATCGATCTCCTGAAGAAAACCTGAAGGGCTTTTGCTTCTGGCATGAAAAAGAAAGTTTAAAAGATGCACACTTTCTCTGTGGATTTTCTCATCAGAAACCATCACCATGTAATGCAAGATGTGGTCCTTGTCTCTCTAAGATAATCGCCAACAGTCAGCGTAGAAAAGAAAGAATTGGTTTGAGCCTGCTAGGGCAAGGGAACCAAAAGCCAATTTAGGCAGAGTTAAATTTTGAAGAACTGTTCAGAAATGTAGCATCTCCTTATAAAGAAAGCTTTTTGGGAACAGGGGAATTGTTCTCCAGATTATATTTCTTTTAAGATACTCTGATTAAGTAGACTATTTGCCGACTGATGTAAGAAGACCAAAGAACAAATCTTCCCTGACAGTTGGGTTTCCTAACTGTTAAATGATCCCTGAGGAAGAGACCCATCATTGAATCACAATGATTCAACTGTAGAGCCTGTTCTTTTGTTTTGATACTGCCTTCTCTTTAATGTTTATTTCTCCTCTTTGGTCATTAGAAATATGAAGATGGGGATAATGAAGCTTAATATTCTTGCCTGAAGATTGCCTTTCTAACCGAATTCCAAAGGTGCTTTTCCAAAAGGCAACTGAACTTTTCTTTTCTGGCATTTTGTTTTTTTTCCCAACGTTTTCCTTTTCAGCCAAGAAGCTTCTTCAGTTCTCCTTCAGAACTGAACTTGGCAGCCAAGGTTCTTGGGTAATCTCCTTATTCTACAGTTGGTGATTATCTTGCAAAAACAAGAACCAGATTGTGTTATCGCTTGGTGCTCACTTTGATTATGCAAGATAAAGAACATATCTCAATGTCTGAGACTTAATAAAACCTTTTTACCAGGGGTGAAATGCTCCCGGTTCGGACCGGATCGCCCGATCCGGTAGCGATGACAGCGAGTGGTTCGGAGAACTGGTAGCAAAAATCCCTGCCCCCTCCCATGCCCAGCTGAGCTGCACAATCATCAGAGGCTTTTAGTTTTTTACTTTTAAAAGCATTTTTTCTTTGACCGGAAGAATGCTTTTAAAAGTTTTTTTTTTAAAAAGCCTCTGATGATTGTGCGGCTCAGCTGGGATTGTCAGAGCCTTTTAAAAGCATTTTTTAAAAGCATTTTTTTGGCCAAAGAGGTTGTAGAAAAAATGCTTTTAAAAATAAAAATAAAAAGTTGGCCATGCCCACCCAGTCACATTACCCCCACCACCATCAAGCCACGCCCACAGAAATTTTACATTTCACCACTGCTTTTACCTAGAGCAAAAGGAATATGCTATTATGCTAATATGCTATTACCTGCTACTCCAATGTGTGACAAATGTGGGACATTGTAAGCAAAGCTATCTGGTATGGGTACAAACTCCTTAACCGAGCTGGGTTATTTCATCAATTCTGAATAATGTATCTGAGGACTAGAAGCCTTTGGATATCAGTGAATCCTCCCATTTTCCCCAGTTAGCTTTCATTGTTGAGGATGGAGTGGACACTGGTCTAGTTTCTGTTTCCCACCCCCCCCCCCCCCCCCCCCCCCCATTGCAGAAAATGAAAACAGAGGTCAGGACATCCGGCGCTGATGTCATCATGGAGCAGGAAAAAGGAAACGGAGCTCTGTATCCAAATCCCGAAAAATCTTCATCAGGAGCTCTTTAAGGGCAATACCAATCCCGTAGAGATTGGGAAACTAAAGAGGAAGCTCTGAAGATGCAGGATGAAAAGCAATCACCCGAGCAGACAGGAGCAATCCTCTTAAATATGGCGAAGAAAGAAAGAGTCTGCCTTTAAGACAGATTGGGAGTGATGACAGCTGCATAAGAAGGAAGCAAAAAGTGGGAAATGACAGCTTTGTTTGGCAGAGAAGATAACCCCAGAAGGAGATGAGAAATATTTTGCGGATTGGAGGCGTGGAGAGAGTAAGGCTCTAAGGAGAAGAACAAAGCGTGTCCGGAAAAGCGGTGCCTAAAATGGAGTAGAGCGCAGAGCAGTGAGACAGATCTGAGAAAGCCTAGTGTATAAAACAGGAAGAGCCCAATAAGTGGATTCCGTAAAGCATGAGGAAAGGACACTAACTGCGAGAGGACTTTAAGGATTGTGACAAGCAGAGCATGGAGAAGTGGAGATTGGAGAATACGAAGATAGCCAGTAGGAGATTGACTATTATTACAATTTTAAAGGAATTATATTTTTTGAAACATTATAACTGTGAAAATCAGAGTATCTACTTTTAATCTCAGGATTTGAGGCAGAAGCTCTGTGGGCTAATGCTGCTCACGTTTGGCCATCTTGGTTGAGTTTGGAGACTCAAGAGCTTAAGAAGCAGAGATGGTGGAATGCTGAATTCACTTTCCTTTTCCAAACGTATTCCAGACTATGTGAGAACGGCTGGGCAACTGACAGAAGAACTGTGAGCTCTGCAGCCCTTCCATCATGGGTGATGACAGTACAAGCATTGCCATCTATATCTACATATTGGAATGATTAGGATGTTAGGGTTCAAAGTAATAGACCCATAGCAAGCAAAACTCAGGCAGGTAGATTCCTGAAATAATAGCTTTATTGGATAGATCATATTGGCACAGCTTTGGTGAAAACCAACTCTTATGGTTCCCGCGGTTTCCACCTAATTAAAAGTAAAAGTTTGTCACTTTGTGTCATGAAATTGTCACGACTTTATTTAATAATTTTAAATTTTTAATTGATGTTTGTCTTGTGTTTTTAAATAGGCTGTACACCGCCCTGAGTCCTTCGGGAGAAGGGCGGTATAGAAATAAAATTATACTTATACTTATACTTTCTCAAAACAATCAGTCACATGGTCCAATCATGGCTCTGTCTGGTTTGCCTGGTGACATCACTCCTCCTTCCTCTGACCAGGTGTGAGAATGTCCTTGGTTCCCAAGAGAAAGTATTTTGTTTTGGCTACAAAATCCCAGCTATCTTAAATCCCCCCTCCCTCAGTTCCACTGAAGGCTCCAAGATGGCTTCACTCATGTCAGCTTCAGGGTTGACACATACAGTTGTTTAAATTTTACATCTACAGATAAATGTAGCATTAATAGATGACAGCACAATTGTAAAAATATTATTAAATAATAACAGTTCTACCTTAAGATCTTCACTTTATTGCTATTTACAGTTTATGCATGTAGAAAAGGAGAAAGGAAACAAAAACAAAAAGGAGAAAGGAAACAACAACAACAACAGAAAAGGCTCTGCTTTCTCACATTGTTCTTTTTTGTGTTTACCAACCTGCAGTATCTATAAACATTTAGGCCTTCTTAGAAACCATATTGTGAATGTTTGTATTTGCCATGCTCTGTAGCAAAATTTTCAAAAAGACCCTAATCCAGGAACTAGAAACTCAGAAAAACAAACAGTAAATAGCAGTCTAATCAAGGGACGACCAAGGAGAAAACAATTCTCCCACCAACATTGACAGGGCAAGCCATCTATGTATATAAAAATGGCTGTGTGGGTGTGTTCCAGCATAACTCTGGAACGCCTCGACCAACTTCAACCAAACCTGGCACACACATGACTTACTCCCTGTAAACAAATATTGTGGGTGTAAAACACCCCTTGGTGTGTGTGTGTGTGTGTGTGTGTGTGTGTGTGTTCCAGCATAACTCTAGAACACCTGGGCCACTGAAATGAAAAGGAATGAATTATATCTATAGTGTCAAATCACAGTACTTTTGACAGTGATAGTGTGCATTTTGGATTCAAGTTCTGTTAAGATATAGCCTGTTGCGCCTTCAAATGGCTTCTACTGTACAGCACAGTAGTTGTCATGGTAACGGCTTCATAGTACTCCACAAGGGGCTCCTTCTTGTAAGGGGGATTGGTTCTTCCTTAGCAATTTCAACCAAACTTGGTACACAGATGACTTACTTTCTGCAAAAGAATACTGTGGGATCTAATACAGGATTGGGATAAATGAATACCCAGGCAATGCCAGGTTATCAGCTAGTTGTATATAAAGAAACCTCATTCCCTTCTAGCACTGATGACGTTACCTAATCAGGTAATAAAATGTCTGCAAGCAATGAAGCTCAGAGACCATCAAGGACACGGGAAGAGAAGTCTTTCCCTGCAGATTTGTAGAATGGCTAAGGACATGTTGGACCCACCTGTAGCTGCTTCCCTGCTTAACTAGCGATCTTTCCATTTATATTGACCTGGTGATTTAAGATTTTGCCTGTGGCCTATTATTCTCTTCTATTGCTCCCTCCAGTAGTTTCTCCTTCTTTGAAGACCTTTTGCAAAATGACCTTCATGCTCTCCTTGGACTGAGCTCCTTTTTTTCTCCCAACAAAAAAATAGATCACTGGATTAATACTGCTATTTAGGCAGGAAAGCAGTATACTGCAAATAACCCAATATTCCAGTTGATTGTAAGTTTCAGTACTAGAAAAACTAATAATGACCGGCAAGGACACTTAATGGAAAAGCAAGGATGAGGAAACAGAAGAAGAGTAATTAAAATCATCAGTAAAAGCCGACCCTGATTCTTTTGTTTCAATTTAAGACACACTTTGATGAAAAGGACCACAGTAGAGAGTGAGATCAACGGAAGGCAAACTATAGCAATCACAAGGAAATGGAGAACGGCCACTTTATATTTACAAAGATTTCATAAAACACAGAATTCCACTCAGGAGAAAAAGAAGATCCACAGGAGGACACAGACGCTGGAGGACAAATTTTTTGGCGGGAACAGCGATGCCAGATTGGGAAGAGGACAGCCACACACCGGTCGATGCTGATGGCCGTCAGAAGAAATTTTGCATTGATGTACATCATGCGGTGAAATAGAGACAGAAGTGGTAGAAAATGTCACTTCCTTGAAAATAGGAAAAATAATTGAATATCATATATAAATGTAGATGCGAGGTACCCAAAGTCTGCAATGGCCAAGTTAAGGATGAATGTGGTGAAACCGTTTCTCTTACTCTGGAAGCCAAGTAGCCAGATGATGTAGCCATTGCCCACAAGCCCAATACAACAGGTAATTAAAATAATGGCCATCAAAGCAATCCCTCCTAAATCAAAAGGGGTGATCCCTTCTGCATACACATATAAGTCATTTGAATTGTTATATTCATAATAGTTCTCTGCAGCATCCAGATCTCCCAGGCTGGAATTCATCATTAAGCTTTTGTAATCCTCTGACAATCTTTTTGAGTTGAAACCCCTATTAGGACAAAAGGAAGAAGAGTGAATTCAGTCATTCATGTCTCCTAAATCAGCGGTCCCCAATATTTCTAGTTTAGCAGACTGATGGAGGCAGCAGAGTGGAAGGGCAAAAGTGGATGGTTTTACTCATACATGCGCTGCTTTCACAAATGCAGCTTTGTACTCGCATGCACTTGGCTGCCCATTTATTTTAATCATTTTATTTTTATTTTTGGATTTATATACCGCCCTACTCCTGAAGGACTCAGGGCGGTGAACAGCCAAAAAGATAAAACACACAAACTACAAAATTTAAAAGACAATATAAAAACCCATTAAATAATTTGGCCCAAAACAAATTAAAACACCCCGAATGTTTTAAAACAAATTTAAAATTTACAATTAAAAGAGAAGTTAGGCCAGGCCAGCCTGTTGAAATAAAAAGGTCTTGAGGGCACGGCGGAAGGTGAGTAAATCCGGGATCCTCCGTATCTCCGGGGGAGCTCGTTCCAGATGGCAGGTGTCCCCACAGAGAAGGGTCTCCCCCTGGGGCCGCCAGTTGACACTGTTTGGCCGATGGCACCCTGAGAAGACCCTCTCTATGTGAGTGTACTGGGCGGTGAGAGGCTACTGGTGTCAGAAGGCGGTCCCGTAAGTACCCAGGTCCTAAGCCATGGAGCGCTCTAAAGGCGGTAACCAAAACCTTGAAGCGCACCCAGAAGACCACCAGGAACCAGTGCAGCTCGCACAGGAGGGGGGTCACATGGGAACGCCATGTCGCACCCATAACCACCCGCGTGCCCCATCATTCTCTGCAGCCGTGTTCTTAACAGACTGCAGACCAGCAATGGGCTGTCGACTACAGGTTGGACACTGGTGGGTTTCAACTGGAGTTACCACCGGTTCGCTTCGCGCTCACGCTTTGCTTATAATAATTACTAATAATTAGTAATTATTGAGGAAGCATTTCTCCCAACGCTTGTTCTTGTAATGGTGACATGGTGCCCAGAGAATAAGAGCAGCTGATAATCAATAATGATAAGAGAAAATCATCTATGACTTGTAAGCAGGAGTTAGGAGATGATATTGGGGGAAATTCCTGCTAAGAGAAAAATGGACAGCTTACACATTTGTAGAGCTACAGGTACCTCCAAAAAAGGGAAAATACACATACACACCCTGTTTTGGTCAACTTAAGTAACAGAATAACAATAACAGAATTGCAAGGGACCTTGGAGGTCTTCTAGTCCAACCCCCTGCTCAAGAGGAGGTTTAGCTCAACAGACAGAAGCACGGTTATTTAACATCTGCTGCTTAAAATTACTGCAGTGATGAATCTCGCCAGTTCAAGGTTGACTCAGCCTTCATCCTTCTAAGGTAGGTAAATTGAGGACCCAGTTTGTGGGGCAATAACTGACTTTGTATAAATATACAAAAGTATGAAGGCTATTGCTTAACGCACTGTAAGCCGCCCTGAGTCTCCGAGAAGGACGGCATATAAATAAATAAAAAAAAAAGTAGGAAACTCTACACCATTTCAGACAACTGGCTGTCCAGTCTCTTCTTAAAAACCTCTAGTGATGAAACACCTCAAGTTCAAGGGGCAAGTTGTTCCACTGGTCAATTGTCTCATTGTGAGGAAATCCTTAGTTCTAGGTTGCTTCTTTCCTTCACTATTTAATTAAGAAATTTCCTGTATGTGTTTTTGCAAACTTTCTGTGATTAACTGGAACTTTCCCAGCTGATACACAAATAAATGGGATGAATTTTCATACAGAACTGAAGAGCCAAAACTGATGAAAAACAATCTGGGTAAGCTAAAGAAATCTTATTCCCTTGTCCTTGAGTTCAAGATAATTTATTTGCTTCTGACATACTTGTAGTGTTCTATCACACGATGGCTAAAAGTAGGTTGGAAAATGAGTCAAAAACCAAGAAACCTCAAGTGAGAAGATATGACAACATATAAATATCAGGTAAGAAATACACAGCTACTGAAAGAAATACCCTGTTTGCATATCCCTCAGTCTAATTAAACCTTCCAAAATTATAACATACCTGAAAATGATGGTCCAAACTCTTCAAAGTTGGTGAGTGGAAGATTATTGGGTCACAATATCGAGGGCTGAAGTGACCAGGGATGGCAGGACCTGCAGGCAAAATGACTTTAAGTTCTATTTAGATGAAGTTCATCGACAGAAGGGAAGTCCAAGCACCCAATCTTGAGTTTCAAGGTTCAAAGAATTGTCTGCAGATTTGGATATATCTGGAAGTAGAGCCTGATCAGAAATCTTCAGAGGTGTTTTTATATAAAGCATATGGTTGAGTGCCAGCATAACAGGTGAGGATCAATCTCCCAAAGTAACATTCAGAGTTTTTGCTTCTGGCATGAGAAAGAAAGACTAAAAGACGCACACATACTCTGTGGCTTGTCTAATCAGAATCTAGCACCATGTGATGCAAAATGTGATCCTTGTCTGTCTAAGATAATTGCCAACAGTCAGTGTAGAAGAGAGAGAGTTGGCTTGAGCCTGCTAGGGCAAGGGAGCCAAAAGCCAATTTAGGCAGAGTTAAATTTTGAAGAACTGTTCAGAAAATGTAGCACATCCTTATAAAGAAAGCTTTTGGGAAACGGGGAAATTGTTCTCCAGATTACATTTCTTTGAAGATGCTCTGATTTAAGTAGACTATTTGCTAATTAATGTGAGAAGACCAAAGAACAAATTTTCCCTGATAGTTGGATTTCTCAATTGATAAATGGGACTTTGAGGCCCAGCTGATTTATTTATTTTATTTATTTATTTATTTATCTTATTTATTTATTTATTTATTTATTTATTTATTTATTTATTTTCATTTATTTATTTATTTATTTATTTATTTAATTTAATTTGTATACCGCCCTTCTCCAGCAGGACTCAGGGCGGTGAACAGCCAGAATAAAACAGAACATACAAAATTTAAAAATAGTTTAAAAAATATTTAAATATTTTTGGCCACAATTTAAAACAACCCAATTAAAATCAATTCAATTTTACCGAAACAGTGGGATCCAGCCAGCCCAGCTAGGTGAAATAAATAAGTTTTCAGGGCCCGACGAAAAGTCCAGAGGTCTGGTATTGTGCGTATCTCTGGGGGAGGTTGTTCCAGAGGGCGGGCGCCGCCACAGAGAAGGCTCTCCCCCTGGGGGTCGCCAGCCGACATTGCCTGACCAACGGCACCCTGAGGAGGCCCTCTCTGTGCGAGCGTACTGGCCAGTGGGAGGCTATTGGTGGCAGAAGGCGGTCTCGTAGATACCCCGGCCCTAAGCCATCGAGCGCACCCGAAGACCACACCGGAGCCAGTGCAGCTTGCGCAGGAGAGGTGTCACATGGGAGTGCCCCATTGCTCCCATAATCCCCTGTGCGGCCGCATTCTGGACCAGCTGGAGCCTCCGGGTGCACCCCAGGGGGAGCCCCATGTAGAGAGCATTGCAGTAATGATCTTTGAATGATCAGTCATTCAACTGTATAGTCTGTTCTTTTGTTTTGATACTTCTCTTAAATGTATATTTCCACTCTTTGGTCATTAGAAATGTGAGGATGGAGATAATGAAGCTTAACATCCTTGCCTGAATATGCTTTCTCACCTTCTCCCAAAGCTGCTTTTCCAAAAGACACATGGATTTTGGGTTGTTGTTTTTTTTTCTTTGAACAACCTGCTTAACCTACCGGAGTTAGTTCTTCAGTTCTGAATAATGCATTTGAGAACTTGTAGACTTTGGACCTCATAAAATCCTCTCATGATTGGGGCAGGCACTGTGCTGAAACTCAATAGACAATGGAAACTGGATGCTGTGCTAATGAAGCAGGAGGTGGACTATTTTTTTTGATTCCACTTTAAAGCTAATTTCTAAAACTTTGTTACATGCACTGGGAAACACCCCCTCCCCCCCTCAAATTGTGTGGCTTAACTTTATTTATACATTTATTTAGTTAGTTAGTTATACAATATTTTATTTTATATTCATATAAATATTTATACAATAAATTCTTGCTTTATTGCTGTGGTCTGAAATCAAACCCACAACGTCCCCAGGTATTAATGTATATTATTTGGTTACAATGGAATTCATACACTATGGACTGGAGATGATTAACACTCTGTTGTTTAGATAACTTTGACCTTTAAAAATAAAGAGAAATGTTTACAGCAATATTGATTATGAACTACATGTTTCTACTGATAAGCTTAAAGTTGCTTAAATTTTATATCTGCAGCTAAAGGTGGCATTTATAGATAATAGCAAAATAATCAAAAGTTTGTTAGATAATATGGGTTCTAGCCTAACTTGATGATTTATTCAAAGGTCTTAAATGTGTTTCTACTTGCAGTTTATTCATGTAGAAAAGGAAAAGAGGGACAAAACAAAATGAACAACAAAAACAACAACAAAACTCTGTTTTTTTTTTCTAGCAACCTGCAGTATCTGCAAATGTTTAGGTCCTCTTAGAAACCCTACTGTGAATGTCTCTATTTGCCATGCTCCTATTTTTTCTTCTGTTCCTCCCAAGGCATGGGATATGCTTGAAATCTGTCTCTCTTGTTCTTTCCCTTTTTAGTAACTGATTAAAGCCTTAACATTCATTGCTGAATTTAACCTGGCTTCTGATTGGCCCTATCTTATTTTTACTTTTTTTTTTTTTTAAAAAAAATTGATTTATATGCCGCCCTTCTCCAGAGACTCAGGGCGGCTTACAATGCGCTAAGCAATAGCCTTCATTCTTTTGTATATTTATACAAAGTCAGCTTATTGCCCCCACAAACTGGGTCCTCAATTTACCTACCTTAGAAAGGATGGAAGGCTGAGTCAACCTTGAGCCTGGCGAGATTCGAACCTGCAGTAATTGCAGGCAGCTGTTCTTAATAACAGGGTGCTTTAGACCATTGTACTACCAAGGCTCTTGGTAGTACATTGTTTGTTCATTTCATGA